GAACTGAATCAAAGTATTCAACAAAGCCCGTATTTGGTAGTTTGGGGTGGCTGTCTCCAATAGTTAATTATTTTTGTCTGGCAGCCTTTGTCCATATCAGGCAGCAGCGAATATTCTGGAAGATGCCTAATTAGCTTTGGAGATGGGGGAGTCGGGGAAATGTGTTCTGCTAGGCCACCTGGAAGTGGCTTGGAGGGATTACGGTTTGATAAATGCCCCAGAGCTGACAGGACAGCTAAAAAAAAGTGGTACCCACTCTTGGCATTAAAAAACAACCCTATCCACTGTTTGCTTTCACCTTTCCCCTTTATGCCGTATCAGTGTGGCCCTACCTTATGGGTAGAAGGTGTAAACTTCATGCAGCCTATATATAATAACGTATGCCTGGGATGAAAATCAGTATTGGAGAATGTACAACATACATTATCTTTCACATTAAAAAAACTTCAAAGAGGGCATCAAAGAAAGGGCAAAAGTGCAAGTTATATTCAAGGTGATAAAAGTATCTTAAAGGACAGAAAGCAAAAGCCATATAGTAAGCCAGCAGTCAGTTTTGGTATGCCACACACTTCTTGCTGTCTTAGACTGATCACTAACACACTATTCATGGTTCTGGGGAATGCTGTGGATAAGGAAGTTCTCTATGGTTTGGTTTCAGTTGCGTGATTTACCCATCCATCCATAGGAGGCAATGGAAAGCTACAGCACGCTTATGATTTACATCATGGTCTGGATAGCCCTGGAGCCATTACGAGCAGTGGAAAGTAATCACTGCCTCGTGGCTGTTTGGCCAGTTTCACGTGACAGATGGTCTTGGTCCAGTCTCTAATGGAAAGGGTGGGCACCTGCACAAAAAGCCTCCAATGACAATGAATCTGCAATGTTTGTCACCTCGTGCACCAGTTCTAACAGAGAACCTGTGAGCCCAAGTTTCCTTCTCCTGCTGGTACCGGACCATAGCAGTGACTGGTCAACAAAGGTTGATAGATGTTGCCAGTTTTGAAATAAGACTCTGACGTTTTCCAGAACAGGCTCAATGTGTGTTT